AAAAAAAAAAAAAAAAAAAAGACCTACCCCGAAAATAAGACCTAGTGTGCTTTTTTGAGGCCCAAAAAAATAAATAAGACAGTGTCGGGGGAAACACGGTATATTCAGAGTTGCTTTGAATAAAAATCAGAAATGTACATTTTTATATAAACAGCGGAGGGCGCTATTGGAGCATAATGTACATGTAGTTTTTATAGCACTGTGATTGCATGAAATGCATCTTCTGCAGCATGATACAGTTCCCTGATTTATATCTGTTATATACATTTCCTTATATTGAGGATGTTACTCCTGATATCCAATATTCCAACTGCATTTGTCACTTTTATAAAGTCTTTCAGAAGATGCAAACACCTGACAGGCTGTATATACATATTCATAAGGCCCAATGCTTGTAGCCCAATGTCATTTTAGTTGATAACAATGAAAACCAATATAATATCGCTCATTCACCTCTACACCAGCCTTTCCCAACCAGGGTTCTGTGGATCCCAAGGGTTCTTCCAGAGGTTACTAGCGGTTCCTTCAGCAATTTCTGACTCTGTGACTATCTGTAAAGGGAATTCTTCTCATTGAGCACAAGTGTACATCATCATTGGACCCTTCTACCAATGACACCAATATACGGAGGGGCCCATGTTCACTGGCCACTAATGAAGGGGGGCATTTAAGTGACCACCAATGTGAAGAAACACTACAAGCACTAGCAGCTCTCAAAGTAGTATTAAACTCTCAAACATTTTTAAGTGATGCATCCAGATCATACAAATATACATTGGCCATCAATCAAATAAAACCTGCCATGGAAGTTTGGATGAGATTGGTAATATTAGAAACAATGGGAGTTACAGAAGTTACAGATCACAGGCTGAAAGTGAACCTGTACTTTACCCATTTGAGATACCCTCTGGTGTGCTTATCTTCTATGTGGCCCTTTGCTGCTCTGTTTATGTGTACATTTCAGTGGTTTTCTGGGTCCCATGAGTCAGGTCTTTTGCATCGCTAAGGACCTTCCCCTCACCCTCACATCATGGCAGTCAGGACTGATGGTTGGCTACTCAGGCAACTATCATTACAATTTGGTAAGGTAGGGGAGAGAGTGACGTGCTCCCCCATTCTCAGAAGTTCTAAGTTATTCTTGTAGCACTTATAATGCCATTACAAACCCCAGAGGAAACCTTATTTTAATTGTACAGGTTTGATTTAAAGTCCATCTCAAGGCAAAACTTTAAAGTTGGCAAAACTTGGGTGGCCATGACGCCCTGATTGAAAATGGCACTGAACTTAGCTGAGTAAGGCTTAGGGATGAGTGACCAAGCTTGAAAGTCAGCAGTGATGTTCCATGCTACTGAACTGATGACAATGCAAGTGTATGTTTCTAAACGTATGGATGGGTGGATTGTAATGTGTATTTTTTCCGGATCACCTTATATCAAGGATAGAGAACTCGTCCTATCAGTATCCCAGGTGTGACATAGAACTAGAACAACAGAATTTATTATGGGCTAAATAGACATTTTGTAACTAAGGAGGCATTTGAGATAGTTAAAGGGAAATTAAAACAGACACCTTGAGAATAGAATCTCAAGGCCTTTTAAAGGACACCTATGATTTTGGACCAAATGATTTACTGACAATTAAGGAAGGGTAGATGGGCACTAGGGCACTTTATTTATTAAGGTTTTATCATTATCAAAATCATATCACTTTTAAAGAGATTAGTTACATAGTTACATAGTATTTGGGTTTGAATAAAGACATACGTCCATCAAGTCAAACCCATATAGGTCCACGCATCATCTCATTCTTAGGGATACTGGTATCCCTGGATATTACGGTCCCTCAAGAAATTGTCCAAACGTTTCTTGAACAAATCTACACTCTTGGCTGAAATCACTGCCGATGGCAGTGAGTTCCAGACCTTAACCGCTCTTAACCGCTCTTACTGTAAAGAACCCTCTTCGCCCATTGTGCTGGATTTTTTTCTCCACCAACTTTAGGTGGTGGCCTCTAGTCTTTGTAATGGAGTTCATCTCAAACAGTTTGTTGCAAATGTTGCTGCCACCATTGAACATCTTGTACATGAAAATCATATCCCCCCTTAATCTCCTTAATTCCAGCATAAACATGTTTAAGGTCAGAAGCCTTGTCTCATAGCTCTGGTCCTCCATTCCCCTAATTAGTTTTGTTGCCCTCCGCTGGACTCTCTCCAGTTCAAGGACATCCCTTCTCAGTACCGGCGACCAAAACTGGACCGCATACTCCAGATGTGGCCGAACCAACGATCTATATAGAGGCACAATTATAGACTTGTCCCTGCAATACATCCCCTTCTTAATACAGGACACTTAGCTTGTGGAAAACTTTTGGTGTCACCTGTTTTTTCAGATCCTGAATAACTTTTGAAGGTGTCATACCTAACTCCTCTTCAACCTAACCTCCCAGCAGTGCTATGGTAACAGGAAACAATTAGACAAGGCACTGGCAAAATATACTAAAACCTCCATCACTGTAGAATACAATTTTAGTGTCTACCCTCACTAGCCATGAAAATGAGTCTATCAAAAGGTAATTTCCAATTTGTTTCCAAACATTGTTTGTGGTTTCCTCATCTATAATTTGTTTTCCGGTTAAGTCACCCCCATGCTGCTTTATATTTTAACCAGAACCGCCATCTTTGCACTGAATGTGCCCAATAGACAAAACAGTACCATCCAAGAGTCTTGGTTTATTAATGTGATGATTTAAAGGAAACATTTACTGAGAGAAATATGGAACCTGCCATTGATGATCTCCATCTGAAAATGCCCAACTGTCTGTGGTGTCAGTACTTTTCTGAGCCGCAAGCCTAAAGCAAGTGAATCCAGACTGAAGTCAGAACTCCTGATCTTGATCCAGGCCAGTGAATCAGAAAGTTCTCAATTCACTGGCTTGGCATGGCAGTCTGGTAACTAGTATTTTCACTATGGATGCACCGATACCGTTTTTTCGGAGTACTGATATTTTGCTTTCGGTACTCGCCGGTACAGAGTACCAATACTGGTGCTTCAGCTGGCATGGTGGATCTCGCTTCCCGGGAAATACGGAAGCTGGGCAGCGGGTAATGACATGCCGCCCGGCTTCCTGAGTGCATGGGAAGCCGGCTCCATGTTGTTTAGCCAGCTCGATTGTGATTGGCTGGCAAACCGGCTTCCCAGTCAATCAGCATCGAGCTGACTTCCCGGCCCATCAGCCGGGCAGCGAGTAATGACCTGCCTAGCGGCTTCCTGATTGGCCTAGAAGCCGGGTCTAATGCCATGTTTCCCTATGGCACTGTCGGTCAGAGGAAATTTACCTTCCGGTATCGAAGCATTGAGTACTCACCCAAATACTCGGTATCGGCACCGATACTAGGCTACCCCCGCACTGCAAAGGTTAACTGCTTGTTTTTGCCTAGGGTTTAAAAAAAAAAAGGTTACACTCACCCAATCCTCCGAACCTGCCAGCTCTTAGACTGGTCCCTGGAGCAGCTCTCCCCCTCCACTGCAGCAGTCTAGAAACCCTAGAGTTATCACATCCAATAAAGTGTATAGGACGTTAGGATGCAGAGGAACATACCATCACTGGACAGGCTGTAGGGAGCACTGCCAGCTCCAAGGTTCGGGTGAGTATAACTTCTTTTTGACCCTAGACAAAATGAGCACTTAACCCTTGCAGTGCAGGAGTAGCCCCAAATGCAAGGGTTAAGAACATTTCTGCCCGGAGTTCTTAATGCAGCTAGTGTCTTTGCCTGAACTGGTCTTGATATCTGTAATCTCTTTACTGAGACTAAGGGTCCCCACACACCTTACGATTATCGTACGATAATCGCGGGAAATCCCGTGATCGTACGATGATCGTAAGGTGTGTGGAAGCCGTGCGACCTCTACTACTGTAAGGTCACACGACTTTAAACTTACGGACATGTTCGAAAACCCGCCGAGCAACGTACGATGTTCGGCGGGTTTGTGGCATGTCCGTACGATAACAGCCGCACGGGCCGGTGTGCGCAAGCGCACACTGCCCGTTCGGCATTGCGGTCATCGGAAGCCAGCCCCTCAGGGGGCGTGGCTTGCGATCATCGCAAGTACGATCTGCCTATGCAACATAGGCAGATCGTACGTTTTTTTAAGTACCTTACAACCATCGCAAGACAAAAGTCTTGCGATGGTTGTAAGGTGTGTGCCCAGCCTAAGACAGGGAGGGTCAATTATCTAAGCAAGTCAAACTCTGATGCATGCACATGTGCAGACAAGGAATTAGATGACAGAAGTAAAAAGGAAATACATGACTTCATCAATCTGCTGCTGCTCTTTTATTGTCCAATCAGATTCCAGGGATAGGGAGGAGAACAAGCTGAACTTCTCAACTGCAATAGAGAAAAGTGAGGTCAGCAAACTAGCTATAGTGCCTTCCAGGACCGGCTGGACAAAATAACATATCCGTTGACAGGTAAAAAAAGTTTCCCCTATATGTATTTCACATATTTATGTAGCTGTTTGCTTAGAGTTTAGCTTTATAGTTTTCCTGTTAGTTATAGACAGTAGACCGCCATTTTGTAAGCCAATGTTTTTTTAGGCTGCAAATTGCATGCAAACAATTACACAAAGGAGGTATGAGGTATGTATGAAACACTTGATTGCTGAGAATCATTTCCCTCCCACCGCCAAAGAATACTAAGAATACTAGACAAAATAACTTTGTTGGAAGGGCAAGGCCATAGCTTTATTGACGTATTATCATCATATAAAACATAACTCTTTTCTGTTTACCTTAAATTGTGCCAGTCACGGATAAACCGTGAGCACCCAAACATCATGACTTTATCACACAATGCAGAAAATCTGTCTTCACCATCAGTTTAGATAGATGTTCAACCACCAAGAATTTCAGCAAAGTTAACGTGGTTACCAATTAAGCTGGCAAGGTCAAAAACATGCCAACAAAGGTGTGACAAGTTATAAAAGAAAAATTAGGGGAGGGTTGGCGAGGATGTTCATCTTGCTGGTCGACTCCCAGGAGGCCAGCAAGCCCACTTCCTCCCATTTATAACATTTACTTGTCTCCACCTTTGCAAGCTATCCCCCAATTAATAATTGATTACGCCCACTTATACAGGAGGATTCCATTTTACTGACCACATCCTCACTGCATGATTCCAGCAGTCAAGGCTCCCTCTCCTTACACGTCACGGGATCTGCCATTCTATGCTTTTACCTCTGTAGTGTAATTTGCTATAACTGAATTAATTGGTTTAATATTCATGCTGCTATTTGTGTGTAGATGACAGATACACATTATTTGATATAAAGGAACAGAGGAGCAAGAAATGTGCTCTAGAGACCGTAATCAGGCTTATCTAGGCAAAGATCTATATGTAGTAACCAGTAGCTACGAATTATTTTTAATTGACCTGACACCAGAAAATTTAATTTTGGGTTATTACATTTTGCACATCATTGAAGCAGTTTGCACCGCCTTGTTTAATATGCCTGGACGAGATAGATAGATCTCATCAGCAAGAGCCAAGTTGTTAAAAAATAAGATACAATGAAAGCAGAAGGACAACACAAATGATTCTCCTCTCCTTGCCCTTTCAACCCCTAATAACCCCACACAATACAAATGATTCTCCTCTCCTTGCCCTCTCAACCCCTCTCAACCCCTCACATACCATGAGATTTCCCCAGAGATGTTCATAAAAAGCACAAAAAAAAAAAGCCAGGTGCCTGTTAATAACGAAGACCTGGGCAGGCAATTTATCTTCCAGGTTCCTAGGAGATATCCAGAGATAGGAAAGCATCTTAAAATAGGCTATAAACTACAGTCCCAGCTCTACACTAATTAGTTTCACGGCTTAATGCGGAAAACTTTGAGTCAATGAGCACCGAAGACATGAAGCCCCCTCATTACAGCATGTCATGCAGCCCCTGATGTGACGGTAATCACAGCTCCCAACAATCCTTCTTTTCAGTCTAAGTCACTCCATCTCTCTTTCCTTTGCATTCTTCCACTTTTATGTCTTTGTGT